TCCACTGGAGAATTTCCACACCTGGAAGGATTTCCAACAGAGTGTGACTTTCTGGCTTTCCTCTCCAGCTGCAGCCCAAATGCACCATGCATACTGCTTCTACTGAACCCATGGGAACAAAATGGGGGGGGGGGAATCAGGGCTCCAGCAAAAAGGAAGGGGAGAAAGTACTGCTCCACAGATGGAAATCTTTCCAGCCATGGAAACTCTGTGATGGAATCAACCCAATGTGTAAAGGTTAGGATTCAATTCACACACATACAGCCAGATGAACATGTATGCAGAACTTTAGAGGGCACATTGTAAAGGCAAGGGAATTCAAAACCGGGAAAAGAAAATCCTAATTTAGCTATTTGCTAATGAATGATCCATCCATAGGATGGTACGCATTTAGTGACAAATGAAAGGTTAATGGGGATAAGTACTAGAAGACCAAGTAATGCGAAGCACCTTATTTGATCAAAAAGCCAGACAAGATAAATTTGTCATTCGAGTTCAGGACAGAACTTTCTATATTACCCCTATATTCCAGATGGGGGACTGAGACTAAGAAGAGAAGAAGAAGAGATTGGATTTATACCCCGCCCTTCACTACCCAAAGGTGTCTCAGAGCGGCTTACAAACTCCTTTCCCTTCCCCACAACAGACACCCTGAGAGGTAGGTGGGGCTGAGAGAGCTCTGACAGAAACTTCTCTTTTTCAAGGACAGCTCTTATCAGAACTATGGCTTGCCCAAGGTCATCCAGCAGGTGCAAGTGGAGCAGTGGGGAATCAAACCTGGTTCTCCCAGATTAGAGTCCGCGCACTTAACCACTACACCAAATTGGCTTGCCTACAACCAGCTAATGAGCTTGACGCTGAAATGAAACTTGAATCAGGGACTTGTTGGTGCACAGGCCACATTTTGAAACTACTATATCAGCTCTTAAAATTACAAGGCTGGAAGAGGGAGGGATAACTCCTAGAAGGCACACACACAGCTAGGCTTCCCTTGAATGTCGGCTTTCTTACCCCACCACTGCCATTTGAACATTCTATGTCCTATCCTTCTTTCTTCATCCTGTCTTTACTCTTTACTCTTGCTCTTCTAGCAGAGTGTATTTCTTTTGCGCATATGGATTATTAACACATTCCAATCATACCTGGAACACAGCACTACAATTCTAATGGCAGTATCAGCGGTCGTTTAATACAGTTTATTTTCATTCTATTCTATATTTTAAAAACACTAAGACAGCCTTGTGCGACTTACTTGCCAATGGAAGCCTGCTTTAATAATAAACAGCTTTATGTTGCTAAATGCACAAAAGCGTTTATTCCATGAACACTAGCCAGGGAGGTGTACTCTGATATTAAATAACCAAAATAACCTTCGACGAGAAGTGACACTTCAAGAGAGCAGAACCTATATATATAGTGCTTCAACATTTCAGTATGACAAATCTGCAGGATACCCCATTGGAAAATATAGTAAAGCATTTACTGGGCAGGGAAAGTTCAGATATAGATACTGGCTCGGGTCCAACTCCCCAGCCCCCCCTCCCCAAAAGTAGAGTAGGGGGCAGAATCCGAAACAACTCTGCCATATCCAAGCAAGAGTTTCTACTTACACCATCAAAAGTTTGGATCCATGTCTATGTTTAAAGCTCCTTTTTAACACACAAAACAGCCAAAATTTAGAGAAAAAGTAAATAAGAAGCAGCATTCCGTTTCAGTCATATGAAGTAAACAATTAGTAGTCTAAGTTTCAGATTTGTAGAAAACTATACTGTTGCAGCCCACAGTGGCCCTTTAGTTGTTTGCGGAAGTCAGTCAGCTCAGTCCTGCTATCATCAATGCTTATTTCTCTTTTGACTGTGGGAAGGCAATTGCCTTACTTCTGACACAGGATGTTCAGCAGGGTCAAGGGTCAGATTCCAATTATTCAGGAATAGTCTCCTGCCCATTTTTCGAAACAAAAGTTCATTCTGGTGTACAAGAATGCACAATTCACTTTAAGTAGAAAAAAACCAACTTGCCTAATGATTTAAACGCATTATAAACTATAAGTAAATTGCATAAATACAACACTGCAAATTGCTTATAGTTCCAAAACTAAACTAGAAAATTTTGTTTCAGCAAATCAAAAATAAAAAAAATCACAGCCTACGAACTTTAGAATTTCAAAACAAAGGAAGGCCTTCTCATTCACTCTTCTTGCAAATACAGGGGTCCCCCTGTGTCTTGCATTGTGGCAAGGCAATTTAGTTTGGGTATTGAAGAGAAAAAAGGGTTACACTAATTTGCCCTATGACTATTATTTTGATCCAAATGTTGGTTGTCTTTCACGTATTTACCCACTTTTAGAATTTAATGCAATTTTAACAAGCAGCCAAGTTTGCAATATATCGACACCTTAATTAATGGATGCGAAAATGAATTTCCAAAACTTTGATTAGCCTGCTTATGTTTAGGAATCACGTAGAAGCCATTACCAGCAAAGAAAGGAAGAAAGATCCTGCCACCTGTATCGGGAGAAATCCATCATGTATTGAGCTAAAATGTCATTTTAAATATTGCTAAAAGTATGTCAAAAACGTTACCTGGAAAACTGATTTCTACAGAGAGGTTTACGGGGAGCCCGTTTATGGGAAAGGCGGTATATAAATAAAATAAATTAAAATAAATAATTTGAAAGCCTTTTCTGATAATATATGTACAGGAAAGGCAACTCCTATTCTGAATTAACAAATCCATTTACTAAATCTGATCAGAGAGCAAAGCTAGGAAAACTAAAATGATAAGAAATATCAGTTGAGCTTCCCAGGATTTCCAAACGGAGGGGGGCTTGTACAGCTTGACACTAATGACCTGTGTCATGCTTCACAGAAACTTTTTAGCACTGCACAATACTTCAGAGAGATTCCGTGTACAAAGCCTGAATCCTTCAGGAAAATAAACTACAAAGCATTTGAAATTACGTCTAAAATCAGAAACAGCGCCCACTCACACGGCACATTCTATTTCATTCTAACAGTTAGACTCTAACTACTGACCCAAAGGTTATTTAAAGTAGGAACCTGTCCAATAGTAAGAAAAAAAGCTCAACCATTTTAATTATGCAGTTATATGGCAATAGACAAACGCTGGAGAGATAATACCAACAAACCACAAAATTGGTTTTTAAAGAGAATTAGGGACTTCTACACGTGGATGCCAGTGGCTCTCTGCTGGAATCTTGTAATCCGTATTAATCTACTGTTTGTTCCTGGAAAGTACCTTTTTGCAATGAAGTCCTAAATTTGCTTTGAATCCATTTAATGCTGTTTATTTTGTGGCAGCTGAATTTGTCGAGTCAGACATATTATTTCCACAGACACTATGTGAAATCTGCTGTATTCCTCATCTTTCCCCCTCCTCTCCCCCCCTCACCCTTTGCACATACTGCCAAACTAACTTAGCAAAAAAGTTTTAAAAGCTGGGAACAATGTTACCACGGGGTGCCAAATTTGCAGCGAAAGCCCCAAAGGCTGTTGTCACGCAAAGTTTGACAGGGCTTGCCAAATGGTTTCTTCAGGATATAAAGTACTTGTGAAGTGACTGAGCCCTTTGTATTTATAGCTGAATGCTGCAGATGGGAAGGTCTCTGCCAAGAAAGAGTAACTGCTGTTTTCACCATGTGAAGTTTTACACACATAAATAAGGAACTCTCTCACTCCTAGGTATATGGAAACACTGCACTGCTTTGGAGGTGTTCCTACCCCAAATGCGGGGTGGGGGGGAGATTTCTTTCCTAAAAGATAGAAAATAACCAAGTATACAATGCACAACTAATTCAGATTAAGAATTCTACACAAAGCATAGTTTGTTTTCAAGTTTAGGAAAACCTGGGAGAAAGTGTAGAGTTCACAAGGGGTTTGTGATATTCAATAAAATGAAAACGCCATCAACCAAGCATCCTTAGCTGTAAGTCAACTGAAAATTCCTGTTCTTACTGCAAGCCAAAACCACACCTTAAGACTGAGGACTTGTGTGTGTGTGTCCCATGTTGATTTAATGCAATCTGAATTTTGTCTAATCCCCCAAATACTAAGATGCAGTAGCGGTTTAATGAAAATACAGGATACTAAAGTAAATTTCCCTACTTTTTCTTCTTACCACACAAAACACCATATAAATCAGACTTGGCAACCCAGAAAGAGCATCTGTATCCACAAACATTCTAACCAAAAATGTAATTTCGGATGAATTTTGTGAGCTTTAAGTGAGAAACCTGCTCCTATTAAGTGGTATCAAAATTGCTTTTTCAGTCTGTTTGCAGACTCCGAGTCCCGTAAGGGGCTAATATCGCTAAGGTTTTCTAGCATAGTGAACAAATTATCTTCAAAACACACATACATGTATTTTCTAATTTACTGGTAAGAGACTCTCACAGGGCATGCAATATGCTGGCTATTTCGGGCTTCCATGGAACAGAACTGTCCAGTTATTTACAAAACATATGTAATCTTCCCTGTACCATTTACAAAGCAGACTGTTGCAGCCAAGGAAAACTCACAACAAAATTCTGGAAAAATTAAAACTTGCTTCATAAAAGTGCCAGCTAAATGGAGATGTCAACACACATTCTTCCCTGTGAGCAAGTTACTGGCCTACTTTATTCCTTCTTAGTGTCTCCCGTAAGGATTTTTTCCCTCGGATGGTCGTGGCCCCGCCCCCAGCGTGCCCCGCGTTGTCACGTCACTTCCGGGTGACATGCGCGCGCTCCAGACGTGACCCGGGAGTTCCCCGCTCCAGGTAAGAAAGCACTTGGCAACACTATTAATTACACACACACATACCACCATTCTGATTATTGTTTCAATCAGTTGAGAAACTGTTCATGGTCTACGCATAAAATTGCTAAGAAACAAAGTGAACTGATATCCTCAGACAAGTGAGTAGTCCTCATGGTAGCTCAGCCCTTAAACCGTGTGGAGACAGAGTGTTCTTCCCATAGCTTCTCAGAAAATACATTTTACCTCAATTTTGTCCGTTTTTGCATCTCCCCAATATAGTTTGTGTTCTTCAATATCCAGTGCCAAACCATTGGGCCACCCTAGAGACGTGTTCACCAAGACCTTCCTCTCTGAGCCATCCAGATAAGCACATTCAATCTTCGGATTTTCACCCCAGTCTGTCCAGTACATATAGCTGTTGGGAACAGAAAAAAGACGCTTTACATTAGCACCTATACACTCATAAATTCTATTAAAACGTATTGCTTCAGTTCAACTTGACTTACTAGCTTGGGAACATGTTCCTATTAACTGGTTATCAAAGCAGTTATTTCCAATCTGTCCACAGAGTTTGAGATCCATAAAGGAATAACAGTATCACCATGCTTCTCATTTTAAATAAGGTGCAGAAAAGACAGAAATTAAAGTCAGCAAGCCTACTAAATGGCAGTTTTCGATGCTTGGCAGCCTCAAATGCATTAGACAGCAATGCAAAGTACAGATTGAGAGGACAACAAAGATTTCAGTACAGAAACATGCGGCGGCAGCAAGGCAGCATAAGCTGTCTATAACAAATCTGAGTATCCCTATGTAAATATCTGGTTTTGTAGCTTACCAGCAAAGGTAAGGCTACCACTTCATTTCTTTTACATTCATTAAAGGTGTGCAAGACTCACCCCATCACCGGATTGAGTACTATTGCTCTGGGTTCATCTAGGTTTTCAGATATTAAGATCTTTCTTGAAGTCCCATTCAACCGTGTAACCTCAATGTGATCTGTTCCAGTGTCAGTCCAGTACAAGTTTCTAGCCACCCAGTCCACTGCTATTCCATCAGGGTGATTTACTTCAGTTGTCACAAGGGTCTGGGCTCCAGAACCATCAAGGAAAGCCCGACGAATGGCTCTGACATCATCATCAGTCCAATATATATAACCTTCAACAGGATCATAGTCTATTGCAATAGCATGCCTAATATTGTCTATCTGCAGAATAATATCGGTAAAGTCCGGCATGTCCAATGAAATCCTTCGTAAGTCTGTTCTCCTGGCAAGCAAAAGCACTTCTTCAGCACCTGGAAAAGAGAATTGCCCATAATTAATCAGTACTTTCCACAACGTAAGTTTTGACCATACTCACTAACAATGGAAAACAATGCCTGACTTGAGAAATGTGCTGAAATTTTGTTCAGTTAGATCAGAGGTCCCCATTGTGGCACCTATAGGGACCACAGTGCCTGTTGACACCTTTCCCAGTGCCCACTGTGGGAAAGTGGGAGTGGTCAGGTGGGTTTTTTTGCCCAGGTCATGTAAAAGGGATAGCTAGATTAGATGCCTGAAAAATGAAGACAGACAGGGCCAGATACGAGTTTCTCAGCTAGCTTAATATGTATAGTTATTTTGTATGTATGCAAGAAAATATTTTTAAATATATATTATATATATACATTTAAAAGGCATCCTATTAAACAGAGCTTCTGTCTGAAATGCTGAAGAGTTATAATCAGAGGTATGCATAACCTAAACAGCATGATAAAAAGTAGAAGCCAGCCTGTTGTCCCCAGCTCATCGTCCACCCAGCGATTCGAAAGCTTCGGCGAGTAGATAAAATGGGAACCACTCCTTAGAGAGGGTGGGCACACCAATCTCCCTTGTGGGAGGGTGTTAGCTGACGGTCGCGACTTCCTGGTCGAGGTCGGAAAAAGGCAAAAGAACTTCTCGGCTACAAAAATCCCTGCAGTGGATGTCTCCGGCCAGGCAGTGGCAGTGTGGTGATGTGACATACGGGTCCTGAAGCCTGGTCGACAAGCAGCCGTTCGGAAAGTGACTGAGCTAAGCCAAAAGACGTTTCCACCGTGCAGTGACAGCGTGTGCAGTTCTCCAGATTAGAGTCCACTACTCTTAACCACTAACTCACAGTGGCTCTGGGGACTCCTGAGCTAGATAGTCAAGTTAACAGTGAAGCTGGACCACTAAACCTGTCATGTGTTTGCAACACAGAGACAGAAGTGTAGCTAGTGGACCCCAAAGAACCATTTTTCTTGAGCACTAGAGCGAAGTATGAATGTTGGACTACAATCTGGGAGGCCATGAAGTTTGTTGTGTGACCTGGGGCCATTCACTAGCTCTCAGCCTAACTTACCTTAGAGGGCTGTTGTAAGACTAAAATGGGAAAGAACCATGTACGCTACCTTGGACTTGAGGAATGATAGGATAAAGATGTGCTATGGAGACAAGTAGGTTTTTGTTGTCTTAACTGTTCTTATATTAGTGAAGTGAAAATTAAACAGCTGAAAAACACTGAGGGTGGGGGAGCTACACTTTAGAGATGCTCATTCCCAAGCACAATTCCTCCACAAAACTACCTTTTAATAGAACATGTGTTTTTTCAAAACTCATGTGTTCATCAAAAGGCTAGAATTCGTTTTTTTAGACTTGCAAAATAAAATTCTTCTAGTCACTTAGGTCCAGTTCTGCTACACATTACAAAGTGAAAACATACAATTAAGAAGATTTATATAAAATGTAAAAGGTTACGACTACATTTGCTAATGTACAAAAAGAAATCAAGGGAAAATGTCTAGACGTTGATCCTGTTTTCTGAAGGGAGAGGAGTGGAGATGGCTTTTGTATGCAGTATACCTTTCCAGCAAATGATACGAATGCAAGTTTAAGGCTCTTTTCATCAGCAGATAACATAAATATTTTCGTTCTTTAATTTTTGAGAGCTCTTCCAAAAAAATATTTACATTACATGTCAAGCTAGTTACACGAACATACAAAATATCCACCGCAGAGAATATGTGTGTTTATACACACACACACACAGTTTTGTAGGAAAATTAGTCTTTCAACTCATGTTCTCCGGCACTGCAATTTGTATATGGACCTAAGGATCACTTACTTACACTCTCTTTTAACCAGCATGGGTGCTTGCCCTGATGCACTTAAGGTGAATAGACTTTTAAGAGATCTCAGTCCGGACATCACAGAGAAGGTGGCTAAGTTTCTCTGCTTGGCTTTAAAGCTGCGCCAAAGGTTCTTCTAACATTGTATATATGAGTTTTAACTGGTTTTAAATGTATACATGGTACTGATAATTTATGCCAATAAAGGCTGACTTGACTTGACTTGACTAGCTTTCGGATGACATTACTGGATCTCAGAGAGGATGAGCTGTCAGATTACAAAGTCATCTGTAGCCATAAAGAATGCATGTTAGACTGTAACATGTTAGACGCAAATTACTATCAACATCTGCATGTGGAAACAGGATGCTCAAGATCGAGCGCACCATTAGAGGACAACAGAACCATGTTCCCCAGCAAACTAAAGAAAGATAAATGGCATCGGAACAAGGGAAATAACTTGAGTCTTCCAACACACAGGTACAGCTAACACTGTTAACTGAATATCCAAATATGAAAGGCCAATGTACCAGTCAACTTTATCAATTGAAAATCCAGAAAGTAGAAGTTCAAGGAAGGAAATAAAATGGCTCAAAGCAAACATGGCCAAAGGTCATACTGCAACAAGAAGTTAGGGGAAAAGTTTACTTTTCTTGCATGCAAAGGACAAATGCATTCATTTTGTCAAGCAATGTACCAATCTACTGGAAAATATATTCAATGTTACAACCGACAGTTAAATACCAAGTGCTATTTAATATTATAAACTATGGTTTCTGAACATCTGCAAAGAAAATAAGTTGGTGACCTATTTTAATATAATACAGATGGCAGAGAAAGAAGTCATATGTGACTCCTCTTAACAACTCCTCTTAACAGAAATATCCATTCAGTATAAGCTACACAACTCCAGACAACTAATTTGCATAACTTATTCAATTTGTAACTTGGATCTTTATAGAAATAGAACAGTACTGAAAATATTAGGAGGCTTGATGAAGATATAGGGGTGGGACCAATGTTCTCTCTAAGCTGTGGAGTCTTATGAGCAAAAATTCTGCTTTGTGAGCTACCAGCAGTAAAGTTGTGAGCAAGTGATTTGGCTACTGTGTAAATTAGTTTGCTCTGGAGCCATCCCTTCCTGAGCGAAGGTGAAAATCTGTGGGCCGGAGGCTAAAAAACTATGAGCTGGCTCACCCTAACTCAGCTTAGAGGGAACACTGGGTGGGACATGACTGCCAATCCTTGAGAATCAGTGAACCTAACACTGGTGCTGCCACTACCATTGGTGGTTGCTGGGTCTAAATTCATGTTGTGCATACAGGCTTTGCAACCAGACCCCTGAATGGCTCCATTCACTACTTTTCCTGATTCCTTCATGTCCATCTCTCACTGGCATGCCACTTGACAATTCTCAACTCTCCCTCCATTGCAAAGCACACAAGGCCGTTCGCTCCGTCCTCCTTCCAGCTTCCAAATTCGAGGAAGGACAAAACAGTAGATAAAAACAGTGGATAAAACGCGGAGCTCGGCATCAAACGTCTGCCTCAGCGCCATTATATTATTATTATTATCACATTTTTTGTAACAGTTTGGTGTAGTGGTTATGTGCGCGGACTCTAATCTGGGAGAACCGGGTTTGATTCCCCACTCCTCCACTTGCATCTGCTGGATGACCCTGGGCAAGCCATAGTTCTGACATAGCTGTCCTTGAAAAAGAGCAGTTTCTGTCAGAGCTCTCTCAGCCCCACCGACCTCACAGGGTGTCTGTTGGGGAGGGGAAGGGAAAGGAGTTTGTAAGCCGCTCTGAGACTCCAAGTGAAGGGCGGGGTATAAATCCAATCTCTTCTTCTTCTAACAGAGGCCTTTTCAAATCACCTCTGTTCGTACACACATACTCCCATTCAAAGTGCCCTTTTTAGACGTCACCACTCAACCTATACAGCTACAGACACATGCAGATTCTATTTTCTACCAAGGCATTGAACTTGAGATTCATGCATTTCAGGTTATGGATTCTGGACACTGGAAGTAATCAGTAGATCTAGGCTTTCGCATAGGGGCCGCCGCCGCCACCACCACCAATGGTGGCGATAACATCGGGATTAGGAGCCGCCCTCAGAAGTTCCGCCATGAATTGTATGGCACTGACACTGTGGGATTGGCTTGAACTATCTACTGGACAGTATCACCCCAAGGGGAGGATTTAAGGAAATGACTGATGCCATCAAAACCACTCAAAGATCATCTTCTTTACAGAAAGCACTTTATTATTGTTATTGTGATTATTATTCATGATTTCATTGTTTTATCTGGTTTTATGCATGGGCTCATGCCCCTTGTAAGCCGCCCTGAGCCCGTTCGCGGGGAGGGCGGGGTAAAAATGCCTAAATAAATAAATCTGCACACAACTAGGCTACAACATCAGAAATCTCCGTAGAAAGTCCCCAAAAGTATTGTAGTGTGAGAATACCCTTAAAAGGAGAAACCAAAATGGCGTGATAGTTCTGGGGAAAGTTGCTGATGTACACAAATTAGATTTCCAAGACTACACTCAACTATGAGCATCACAGCACATACTTATATAGTTTGTCAATGTTATTTAAAATCTGTAAAAGCCACAAACTTGAAGAATCAATCTGGAAGTTACTTTCATGTATTTTTAAATTCATAACTTAATAACTTAGGTCTGAGGAAACTTCTGCAAGTACTGGTGTGGCAGCCAATGTTCCCTCTAAGCTGTGGAGTCTTGTGAGCAAAAATTCTACTTTGTGAGCTACTGGCGTTAAAGTTGTGAGCCAGCAATTTGGCTGCTGCCTAAATTAGCTTGCTCTGGAGCCATCCTTCCTGAGCAAAGACAAGAATGTGTGAGCCGGAGGCTAAAAAACTGTGAGCTGGCTCACACTAACTCAGCTTAGAGGGAACACTGGTGGCAGCCACAAACCAACAGGAACCAATTAGCAAGGTGGTGTTGGGAAAAAAATGATTTTAAAAAACAGAGGCCTCACATCTTTTACCAAAAAACCTGGGGGAATTTCAGCATTATGAAGGTTCATTGTTACCTTAGTAGGAGCTATTGAAATTGAAAGAGGGCACTGGTTGGCCATTTTATTCCGTGTGTGTGTGTGTGCAATATCAAAATTTGATTCAGACCTGTACTTTTGTTC